ATGGGATGGGATGGGATGGGATGGGATGGGATGGGATGGGATGGGATGGGATGGGATGGGATGGGAGAGCAGGACAGGGAATGTGGGGATGGGATAGAATGGGAGAGCAGGGCCGGGAATGTAGGGATGGGATGGGATAGAATGGGAGAGCAGGGCAAGGAATATAAGGATGGGATGGGATGGGATGGGATGGGATGGGATGGGAGAGCAGGATAGAGAACGCTGGGATGGGATGGGATAAAATGGGAGAGCAGGACACGGAATGTAAGGATGGGATGGAATGGGATGGGAAAAAAGGGACAGGAATGTAGGGATGGGATGGGATAGAATGGGAGAACAGGGCCGGGAATGTAAGGATGAAATGGAATGGGATGGGACAGCAGGGCCGGGAACTTAGGGATGGGACGGGAGAGCAGGGAATTTAGGGATGGGATAGGATGGGAGAACAGGGAATTTAAGGATGGGATGGAATGGGATGGGAGAATAGGGCCAGGAATGTAGGGATGGGATGGGATAGAATAGGAGAGCAGAATAGGGAATGTAGGGGTGGGATGGGATGGGAGAACGGGAATTTAGGGATGGGGTGGGATGGGGTGGGAGAACAGTTAAAGTAGGGACGGGATGGGATGAGAGAGCAGGGCCGGGATGGGAAGGGCAGGGAAAAGTAGGGATTGGGATGGGAGAGCAGGGAATTTAAGGATAGGATGGGAGAGCAGGGAATTAAAGGATGGGATGGGAAAACAGGGAATTTAGCGATTGGATGGGAAAGCAGTGAAAGTAGGGATGGAATGGGGAGAACAGGGCCGGGATGGGGAAAGCAGGAAATGTAGGGATGGGACGAGAAGCAGGGAATTTAGGGATGGGATAATGGGATAGGATAGGATGGGGAAAGCAGGGACTGGAAGTGCGAGGGAGAGGAGGGAACGCGGGGCAGAGAGGGATAAGGTCGAGAAAGGGAAGCAAAAAGGAAAGAAGAGAAGCCGGGAGAGGACGAGGACAGGCAGGAAGAGGCAGAGGAGGCACAAGGAGACCGGGGGAGGCAGGGGAGGACCAGGGAAGGACCAGGGGAGGACAGGGGGAGATGGGGCAGGAAGGGGAGGCAGGGGCAGGCAGGGGAGGAAGGGGAGGCAGAGGAGGCAAAAGGACTCAGAGAGCGCCCGAAAAACTGGACTGGAGCCGCTGCTGCAGGCGCGCCGAGAAGTTCTGGCAGAGGGGCTCCGGCTGCCGGGGGTTCCCGCTGTCTTTAAAAAAAAAAAAAAATTAAAATTAAAAAAAAAAAAAATTTAATTCCTCCTTTTTTCTTCTTCTTTTGGGTTTGTTTTTTTGGATTTTTTTTTTTTTTTTTGGTTTTGGTTTAGTTCGGGGTTTTTTTTTTTCGCTGTTTAAATAAATAAACCAGCCCTGCCCTCAGCTGCGGAACTCCGACCCGCGGAGGGGAGGACGGGACAGGTAAAGCCTCCCCCAGCGCTCCCGCTCCCCGCGCAAGCTCCGCTGCCCTCCGCGTATCCCCATCCACAGGCAGGACCTTCCCTGAACCGAAACCTCTTCGCAACGCTCCGATCCTGAGCCCGGAATTTAAAAAAAAAAAAACCAAAAAAAACCCCAAAACAAAACAACAACAAAGTCAAAGCTCCCCAAAAGTGTCAATTTTGGGGCGTTTTGCGCGGGCGCGCAGCCCCTGCGCGGGCCGCTCCCGAGTTCACTCCGCAGTTTGGCTCTGCTCGGAGTTTTGCCGGCCCGCGGAGGCGGGGGCCAGCCCTCCCCTCCCGCACAAAAGGGGTTGAAAGTCTATTTTCCACTTGGCTGGATCGAAATACTCCGCGCGGGATCCTTCCCCCCGCGGAGAGGAGAGCGCTGCTCTGCGCGCCCGCGGGCTCTGCGCGGACACGCTCCCGCAAAGAGGCTGCGGCAACAAGGATGGGGGGGAGAGGAAAGGAAAAAAAAAAAAATCACATCAAATCCCCGAGAAGTGAAAGCCTAAAAATGGAGCGAGAGCGTCGGCAAAGCGTGGTTTTTTAAATTTTATTTTTATTTTCATTTCCGCAAGAGAGAGAGAGAGAGAGAGGAAAAAAATAATCGACATTTAAAATATTTCAGAAATAGATTTTAAAATATCTATTTTTTTTTTTTTTTTTTTAATAGGAAAAGTGGAAATAAAGAAGCGGAGTTGGGTGAGAGAGAACTGCTGGCGGAAAGGGCAGCGGGAGCGGAGCGGGCAACACCCGCGGAGGGACGGGGATGGGAAGGGGAAGGGAATGGGAAGAAGGGAAGGGATGGGATCGGGAAGAAGGGAAAGGATGGGATGGGGAAAGGGAAGGAGAAAAGGACACGGGGACAGCTCGGCTCAGTCGCGGGAATTGCGCCCTGTTCGGGACCGTTTGTGGAATTTCATTGAAATCCATTTAATCCGATTGAATTCAATTTCATTTCTTTTTTTTCTCTTATTATTTTTTTTTTAATGTTCTCCACCTTTTCTGCTCTCCCGGGGCCGGCGCGGGGGGGACGCGGCCCCTCCGTCCCTGCCCTGCGGCAGCCGCGGGTGCGGAGCGGGGCCGGGATTTCGTTTCGTGCGGATCTCCGCGGCTTTTCAGCATCTTCTGCGAGAGAAAAAAAAAAAAAATTAAAAAAAGGAGAAAAAAAAGGGAAAGGAGACCGGGCTGAGGCTGCTTCCCACGGGATCCTCGCCGCCGGCATCTCCCCTCCGAGCCCCGGCTCCACCGGAGCGTTTTGAGACGGAGCACCTTCGGTTTGGGGGTGAATCGCCTTTTGGGAATTTATAAATCTTTATAAACCTGATTTTGTGGGTTTTTTGGGTTTGTTTTTTTGTTTTTTTTCTCCCCAATTCGCCCCGGTGGTTTTCAGTCGCGGCTCAGTGTCCAGGCTCGGATGCTCCGAAGGGAACCGGGGAGCGGCTACGCTGAAACCGATGGAGAACCCCAAATTTATCTTTAAATTCCCTTTTTTTTTTTCCCCCTCTCTGCTCCCAGGCCTGCTCCCAGCTCCAGGAAAACTGAAGCAGGATTTTGATCCCTTCTGGAATAAACCCGGACCCGCCGAGCTGGGGGGGGGGGGTCCTCGCTCTGGTTGGAATTTTATAGAGAGGAAAACTTTCTCCACGGAATGGCCAAGAGAGGGGAGCCGGGATGGATTCCCTGCCGCTGGATTCCGGCCGGGAGCAGCTCCGGGATGGGAAAAAAAAAAAAAAAATTCCATTTTTTCTTTTGAACCAAAGAGCCGCCGGCCGTGCGAGCGCAGCCGGGGCCGGGCAGGGGCGGCTGCAGAGGGATCGGGGGTGCCGGGAGGGGAAAATGGGGGTGGGGGGTCTGAAAAATCCAACAGGGGGGTCCTGCAAGGAGCAAAGGAAAGAGGAGAAGAAGGAGAGGGAAAGAAGGACACGACAGGCAGCGAACACCGGCGGCGGGGTGGGGGGTTCAGGGTCATTTATGGGGTGACAGCGGGGCCACCGCTGTGTCCGCGTCCATCTGCACCCCCAGACTCAAAACCCCCCCAGCAGGGCGGGGTCCCCCCGTTAATCGATCATCGCCATTCCCATATCAAAGGGCACCGTGTGGAAAACGAGCCCCGGGCCCCGGGCACGGCTCGGCCGCCGCGTTAAAAGTTGACCAGACTTCAAAGCGCTGCAGAATTTCCCTCTCCGCTCTCCCGGCTGCTCTTCCTCTGGGCACAGCTCCTGCCCGGCCCGGATTCCTCCTCATCGGCCATCCAGGCAGCCCCGAGGGGGACAGGGGAAATGGGGGAGGATTTAGGGCTGAGAGGTTTCAGGAGGTTTTCCTGCTTTCATTTTATTTTCTTTTTCTTTTCTTTTCTTTTTTTTTTTTTTTTTAAATTTTCTTTGGTTCAGGAATGTTCTGGATTGGAATTGGCTTCCAGCAGGTTATTGCTGTCACCTCCCTCAGTGTCCTGTGTCAAGGTGCTTTTGTCAACTGGTCCATGGAGGGAGGGATGGATGGAGGGAGGGAGGGATGGAGGGATGGAGGGAGGGATGGGTGGGTGGATGGATCACGGAATCACAGAATCAGAATATCCTGAGCTGCAAGGGACTCACAGGGATCATCCAGATCAGCTCCTGGCCCTGCACAGACACCTCAACAATCTCACCTGATGGAAGGGTCCATCCTGATGGAGGGATCCATGGATGGATGGATGGATGGATGGATGAC